CTAGCTGTGCTCTCTTCCCAGCAGATGTTAGGGTGGTTGAAGTCTCCCATGAGAACCAGGGCCTGTGATCATGAGGCTACTTCCAGCTGTCTGTAGAAGGCCTCATCGATGACTTCCTCCTGATCAGGTGGCCTGTGGTAAACCCCCAAAACAGCGTCACCCATGTTACCCTGCCCTTTTATCCTTACCCATAGGCTCTCAATTTGCTCTTCATCCGCTCCATCAGACACTCCCCAGATCACCCACACCAGACACCAGCTCTTCCTTTCTCTGATGGAAGAGAGAGACCTTTCTCCCAGTAAGCCTGCTTTAATTCCTGCTCTTGGTTTGAAGACTTTTCTTTCTCCTTCCACCTCTTTTGTGCCTACCACTGACCATCCTATTAGGAGATGCTTCTAGGAGAGGCAAGCCACGTGACAGGGACCAGGAGAAGGGCCCTTCCTCCTTGCCTCACTTCCCCCATGACAACTGGGGGGAAGCATGCATCCCCAGCTCTGTAATGAAGTGCATATCCTCAGAGCCTCCCACAGAGATCTCAAGTAAGTCTTCAAAGATTCTCGAGTTACAGCAGCAGGAAAACATCCACAGTTTAAAGGTAGAGAAACCACAGCAGAGAGGTTAGAGAACTTCTCAGGCATGTAACGTGACAGAACCCAGCACAGATATGACAACTTGGATCCAAGCCCACTTTCTTCCGACAGGTCTGTCAGGCCTTGGATGAATGCATGGTCAAGTCCTAAAGTGACAGTAAGCATGTAATATCTACAGACACGGTCCTGGGACTACACTCCTCTCATTACCTACTTTTACCCTCTGGGATTGCAGGACACTTCTCTTTCCATTAACAAAAAAAAAAAAAAGGTTTCTGTATTCTTGCTATGTGCAGTTTTTGAATAAGGTTATCTGTTGGAGAATAAATAACCCAATTAAGAAGGATTTGAGCTTCTGGCAACAAGGGGTGGGGGGGAGAATCACTTAACAGACCAGTCTGTTGTCCTTGACTGCTCCTGAGGTCATTTTGCATGCCAAACCCATCCTCAAGCCGGGGAGGGATCTCCATACAGGAGGACTAGGGCTCAGGTTAACTTCCACTGACCCTGTTCTCGTGCACTCCCTCTTCCTAGGGACATGACCACTACTATTCTTCAGCCAGAAGGGATTTTATCATTTCAGTGTTCCCATGAAGCTCCATTTTCCCTTCTGTCACAGAAATGAGGCAGATCAAACCAGTGCTAGAAGAACCAGGTACCCCTGGTTCCCATTTAAGCCCTAAGAGCTTCCAAACACAGAGAATTTGGTCCTTGATACTCCAGGCACACAGATCCCATGACAATCTTCTGCTGCCCTAGGCAGACTGGAGGAAGGTGTACCAGGGAAATCAGATGAACTGGAGAACCTAGAGCAGAAGACTTGAGGCCTTACACCCAGCATCCTCCTCTGCTTCACAGCATTTCTACAAGCGCAAGACTGACCTGGGAAGAGGAAGAGACCTTCCTTTCTTCTGATACACTGCCACGGTACCCTCCCATCCCTTCCTGTTATCCTCAAGGCTAAGGTCCTACTTTCTTCTTTACCAATCTTGGCAGGAGGGAGGGGAGAACATCATTTTGCCACTGCCCCGGTGAAACTACTTTTGGTTTGGCTATGGAGAGAAGAAAGTTTTTAGTACCTGATGGTCATTTAAAAAGGAAAGAAACCAAAGCTGAATTAATGAAAAGAGAAGGGGCAATAGCTGCAAACATGCCATGAAGGAACTCATGAGAGCATTAATGACTGGAAGCTCTCCAGGCAGACATGGAAAAGGTACCTATTTTGCAAGCACAGGGAAGATGATGGAGCCAAAATTAGCACCAAGTGAAATGCAGCTGCAGTTCTGCTGTGTTTGAGTTTTCAGCTGGGGCAAATCTTGGATGCATTTGAAACCACTCACCCTAGTTTAGAACAAACACAGGACACCAGTGGCCTTTCCTCACTCTGATCTGAGAGAGCCAAGGGTTTAAGCTGTTCAGGCAGGACTCTCTGGGACCACAGGTTTTCATTCAACGTGGGAAGGTCAGGAAGAGAGGACACGCAGCAACACATGGAGCTGCCTCCTTCAAGTCAACACATCTGTGACCTGCTGACGCTGACTCAGGGCCCACTTAGTGGGACCCCAGCAGAAGGGAGACAGGGTTGACCTCTACCAAATACACACCCTTCGCCTTCCCCGGAGTGCTCACCTGGTCGTCTGCTGGAAAAGGGGCTTCTCAGCTGGCTGTGTCTCCCTGGGCAAAACCACGAGTGCTGAAGCTTGTGTGTCACCGGACTGCGGCAAAGGGCAGGGCTGGGCTGCTGCGTGGCTGGTCACGGCAGGGACCCCACTACTTGTGGGGCACGCAACAGGGGAAGGGAAATCAAACTGTTTAGGGTTAGTAGCAGCCACAGGGAAAGGGGTGGAGAAGGCCAAGGGCTGGCTGTCATGCAGGAAAGGAGGTTTGCCTAGCTGGTCCCTGGGAAGGTTAGTGGGCTGGAAGCCTTGCTGAAGGGCTTCCTCGTGGAGGTCTGTGAAGCTGAAGCCTCCCTGACCAGGCCTTTCGGGTAGCACAGCTCGAACAGGGAGGGTGACTGGTGGCTTTTCCACAAAGGGATTTGTTGGGGCATTTGGGCTGACTGCCGGAGCAAAAGGATTGCCTGGGGCCAAAGCATCCTGCTCACTCCTCTCCTCTGCCCTATCGGGCTTCCAGAAATCGGCCTTCTTGAAGTCTATCCTGCAGTCGGCCAACCGCCTATGCCACGGCCCTGGTGGCCCCTCGGGCTCACTAGCCGAGTGTCTGCCTTGCTCTGCCTCCCAGGGAGGGCCCGCCACTGTGTCAGGGCCACGAGGCTTGGGCTGGCCTCGTGCTCGCCCACCGGGGACGGATGCCAGCCCACACCGCCCCTCACCGTCTCCCCACACCATCTCCGGCTCCAGCTGGGGTGGGCCTTCCCCATGCGCTAACCTTTCAGGTGGAGTACCCTGGCTGGGACCTGGAGGGCAACCCATCGGCTCTTGCTCTTCCAGAGCCGTCCAGAAGACTTCCGGTTGGCCTGAGTCTAGTTTGGAAGACGGGGTTAGTCCAGAGGCAACGAGCTTCTCAGGGAACAGCTCCTGCTCTGGGGTTGTCGGCCACTCGGCACTGTCTGCCAGCCCAGAGGAGCGTATCGAGGTGAGCGGCTGTGGCTGGGTGGCCCCAATTACAGCAGATAAGCCTGGATGGCTCGAGCTCCCATCAGCACCTGATAGGCCTAATCCATTGAGGGAGAATTTCGACGGGCAAGTCTCAAACTGCTCGGTCACATCCGTATCGTTTCTCTCAGACAGGTTTTCCCCTAAAGAGACATCCCATTTTGCCAGCTCATTAGCTCTCGCCTCCAAATTAGCCCCCAAGTCCGCAGCAGCGGAGTCGGCATCCTCGGTGACCGGAAACATGCTCTTGGCCTCAGTTCCTGCAGTGCTGAGTGAAGGCGGGATGGGAACTGCTGGGACAGAGGGCTCGCAGCTCAGCTGGGCCCTAGGCAGCCCCATTTCCACCTTTGGGCCCTCTGCATTTTCCTGTCGGTCCTCGCCACCTTGTGGCTCTGGCTGTGGGTTGGGAGCATCCTCCTCGCCTTCCCCTCTGCCACCCACGGCCACAAACGACCGCGGAGGTTTGGGAGGTGGTGCGGCCGTCAGCACGTGCGAGCCGGCTGCTGTCTCCTCCCTCTCTCGGATACCAGTCCACAGAGGGGGGCCCGTGTGCCCCTCACGAACGTCTGGGCCTAGTTTTACACGACTTTCACTGGCCTCTAGTCTCATGCTAGCTTGGAGCCGGTAGACCGATGTCCGTATGTCAAACATTTCCTCCTCGCTACCAGCACCTTGGGGTGCCTTCTCCGGTTTGTGTGTCGTGGGGAATTGTTTCACTGCCACATCTCTGAGCACCCGTGGGGTCACAGCAGCAATGTTGCTCCCGGGAGGCATTTCAGAGGGATTCTGGGGGGTGAAGTTGCTTCTGGGCAGTATGCACGCAGCAGCGTGAGGATCGCTCTTTTCTTCGAAGACACCTTCATCAAGTAACGGCCGTTGTCCAAACACACTCTCCTCTTCTCTGCGTTGCCTCTCAACTGCATTTTGGGCGCTTTCTGACAGATCAGAAGCCGTTTCTGTGGCTATGGTCATCCATCCGTTTTCCCCTGCACTAGTGAGTTCCTCCTCATTACTATCCCGTTCCTCCCTGGCAATGTTTTCAGCAGTTAATTGTGCTGAAGCTTCCTTCTCTCCTGGGTTTCCTGATGCAAATGTAGCTGTCCAAACCGTAGGCGTGCTGCTTTTCCTCCTTCCCATTGACCCTGCAGACACAGGGCTCAACACATCTTCTATCACAGTTGCTTCCTGGGTTGTGCTCACCAAGTTCGCCCCAACGTCTAAACTGGAGAAATTTGACCAAGACCGTAGACTTGCAGGCATTTCACTGATGATATGGGAGTCAGCCTTTTCAAATACCTTTGTCCCATTCTCGTGAGCCAGGTTGGTTGATCTTTCTGTTGGACTAGCTGCATCTGGATCGTCAATGAAAGCCATGCCCTCCACTGCTACAGAAGCAAATAAGTTTTCTTTCTTCAGTTCTGGTTTGAGCCTGCTGGTAGCAAAGGCATCAAAGGTATCGTCCCACTCTGAGAGGGGAGGAGGAACAGCAGGTTTCTCATCCGGAGGAGCAAGGTCTCCTTGTGCTGGGGGAGTAGTTTCTGGAACGGGGATACAAATGCTTTTGCCTGGAGACTCCCTCTCTGGATCTTTAACTCTTAGGGAGGCAGAGGGACTGCAATCCTCAGAGGAATAAAAGCTCCCAGCGACCTCTGTTGAAGCATGTGGCTCAGACGGGAAACTAGAGAAAAAGTGAGTAGGTGAAGGAGAATTTAGTACCTGGTCAGCGAGGAGGTCCTCAAAGAAAGGATTGCTCTGCAGGGAGTTGAGGAATGGATTGGTAAGGGACAAGCATCCAGATTGACTTTCTCCAATAGCGGGAGAGAGGTTAGCGCTAAGCATGCTAGCGAGATGGGCTACAGCAGCAGGAGGAAACCGGGCAGGGGAGCAAGGAGAAAAATGAGAAGGAGCATCTGAGCTGGTTTCTACCTGAGGAGACACTTCCAGGCTGTGGAGGGAAGACAAAACAGTCCTCCTGGTTAATGCTGTGATAGAGCTGTAAGCATACACCACATACACTACAAACGCTTCAGTTCAAAGCAATGCAATGATCAAATACATACTTCTCTCTCTTGTTAGGCAGAGCAATGATTATGGAGTAAATGCATGGAAAGGGCATGCACTACAAAAAGGAAAGGGCAGCCCTTGTTTTAGAACAGTTTTCTAAATCTCCCCCTTCTCACTTAAGCAGTCCCTAAAACTCAGGAGCTAGAGAGGCTTATTCCACCTCCCGTGGCCCAAGGACTCGGCTTATTCTTTGTCCAGATGTCGGTTCCTACCGAGGGCAGATGGCACATGGGGAGCCCAGCTGAGCTCTTGGTTAAGGTCTGCTTGAGCCAATAAGAGCACGCAAGAGTAAGTCTTTCCCAGTTTACTCCAGTGTCTCGTTACTCGTTTGCCTACATATCAGGAAGCCAGTGGCAGTGGTGCTCCCTCTCTCACAAGCGGGAGAGCTAGCATGGCTACTGGTGAACAAGGAATAAGAGCCGAGTGGGACAGAGCACGTGATCAGGACATAGAACTGGCACGCAAGGCACTCCGGCCCCATTCTCGACTCTGCCAAGCCTCCCTGGATGCCCTTCATCAAGTCACTTCTGGCCTGAGTGCCCGAGATGCCCGAACCCCCATGTGGGACCTCAAGAGGAGGGAAGGGTCTTGGCACATCCCAAACTCAGACTGTTAATCTCCTTGTGTAGATGTATTTTTCCACTCAAACTGAAGTCAGGCTGCCTGTTCTTTGCTGTCTTTAAAAAAGGACTAGATTTACCTTTCTGTTCCTTTGGGAACTCCTCTATCAATGTACTCACCATCCCCGAGGACAGCCTTGCCAGGCTCAGGGAGGCAGGTGAGCGTTGGCCATTCTGAAGGTTTTCACACCACAAAGGGTGCAGCTTGGACGCCTCGCACCCGGGCTGGTGCTCCGACTGCCAGGCTTCCTCCTCCTGACTCTCTTCCCCTTGACTTACCACTGCCAGGAGTCACCCAGGCCCCCTCTCCTCCTAATCCTGGCCCCATGGTTGGGGCACTCAGTGCCGGCAGCGAGAAACGGAGCTAGAAATATTACTTCACTCTGCATCAGCCCCAACAGCACGCCCGGATGTGGCCAAAAGGTGAGGTGCCCCCTTAGAGGGCAATTAACGGAGGGAGAAAACACAGTTTTATCCTCTATTTTCAGCCACCAATCCTTGTAAAAGAGAGAATTGCACTGCTTTGCCAATATGCATGAGGTACTCCATCATCTCCAGCCCTGCGGTAGAGCCGGCCTCAGCCAAGCTGCTTGTAGGGATCACAAGCAACACCAGAAGGTCACGGTCAACATGCTGCCTACGAGCTCCGGGTCTCCTGTCCTTCCTCACCCTTCGTGAGGAGCCTGGGCTGGCTCTCCGTGAGGACTCAGCCTTCACGGAGAGCCAGGCCTCTCCCCATGGGAGACCCATGTCCAGGACTCACCTTTGCTAAGCCCTTTCTGCTCTTCTACCCTCATTCTGTCTCTGCTAAAGGAGCACTGCATTTTACCCTGTGAACCCTTAACGCCACAACCAGCTCAACCATCAGAGAGCCTGGAAAACATCTCCCCGCCATGGTCTGTGACTTGCAACTAGCTGGCAAGAGATTGTGAGTGAACCACAAAGCACGTTTCCACAACGGTGCATGGCCATGCAACCATCCCTGCTCCTGCGCACTGCGTGGGATGTGGCCAGCCTGCTCTCTGCAAAGTGGATGCATGGCCAACAGAGTTGCTTTAACAAGCCAGGTGAACACTGGATGCAGAAGGGAATCAAATGGCAGTTACTCAGAAAACAATTTTCACCTGCTATCATGGGCGGTTCTGTCACAAAGAGACTTGGAAACATTTTAAAGCATAAAAATGCCATCTTGAGGCAAATACAAGTGATGAGGGGAAGAGGCAGTCATTGGTGGTTGTCTCCACAGCAGGCAGGGTCGTGAGCTGGCAGCATACCTCTGACCATGAGTGGCGCATGGGCTGACAGGAGGATGCATGGACTGTGGCAACAGGGAAGCACCCACTTCCCATCTCTTCTGGCCGCTCCAAAACCCCTCATGGCAGACCCTCAAAAGTACCCTGATAAACTTAAAAGGACCTCCCACTGGGAGCAACCCATACTGACTTAGCCCTCACAAAAAAAGTCCTCCAACTAGTCAAAAGAAAATTGGACTTTCTCCAATCAGGACTGGGAGGGTGTTGAAACACCAAGGCCTGTGTTCTTCCAAATAAGCCTATTTTAACTCAGTGTATCAAGCCCTAGAAGTCCTCACACCACAGTTACACAAAACAGCTGAGCCCAGTGCAGTTTGCTGTCCAAGGCAGAAGGCTATTCGGGCTTGTGAACCTTGATCATCCTCAAAGAACAAGGTTCCTGTACTGAAACCTCCTGCGGGAGGGTTAAGAGAGGTACCAAGCCATGAGGACCAGAGCACCCTGTAAAGGTGCTTATTTATTCAGTTAACGTCATCAAAGCCTCCTCCTGCCTGGTTTTTAGGTAGGTAACTCACGCACAGGCAGGTGAGCGAGCAGCCGATCCCCAAGGTGCCTTGGGTCACCCCATGCCTTCGCAGCAGGATCAGGGGGATCCAGCAGGCAGCTGCCTAAGGAGAAGCAATTCCCATCAGCCGACCAGACTCGCACGCAATGCTTATTTTGGGAGGAGAGAGCCCCTGTTCCCGGGTAACGTTGCTGCTGCCATGTGCGATGGGCTCTCGCAGAGCGATTCCTGCGCCTCCAGCCCTGAGTCTCCCGCTCCTCCTTCCCACCACAGGGCAGTTTTTAAACCACTTTTTAACCCTGTCACCAGAGCTGGAAAGCCTGGGCCAGGGTGCTTTCACACATCAGATGGCATCCGTTACCATCCATCTAACTTGGATTCGGTTTTGAGCTAAAAGATGGTATTTGAAGGGCATTTGCTGCAACCAAATCAACTTCAGCGTATATCAGACAACATTGCAGATACCACTTAGCAGAACTAGCAGTTCAGGCACACACACACAAAGCCCGACAACCTTCTTTTCCACTCAAATCAGCAACTGAGCACCCACTTGGTGCTGCGGGTGGAGACAGCTCGTGGGTGCCCTCTCCTGCTGTCACAAAGCAGCAGTGGCTGTGGCGCGGCAGCGATCCACCCCCCGCTCTTTGTGGGGACCGGCGCCATGGGGTAGAAAACGCATCGTGGCAGCTGGGCACACAGCTCCGCAGAAGTTAACTCTCCAAGCAGCCCAGTTCTTCTGATGTGTTTTATTCCCTGGCTCCTCTTGGTGAAAACAATAAAAAACTTCCTGGAGAAGCGATGGGAGAAGTTGATGGAGAAGGTGCTGCAGCTTTAGGCGCAAATCGCTCCAGAGAGACCAGCAGCCTCTCTGTGCTTGGGAGCAAGCCTCTCTGGGCACGGTGCAAAGTCAGGGCTCTCCGAGGTCACATCCTGCCTACAGCACGCCCAAGATATCAGAAGAGCCACTTCAGACTGTACCTACGGCATCCTCGCTATTGCTGTTGCCACGAGGCCCCCGTGGTATAGCACGTGAACGCTTGGGAGAGCAGACAGGCCAGCCCATCTCTCCTAAATTCTCCGTCGCTGCAGCTAAACTGCTTTACCCAACCCTGGAAAATGGGTTTTTACAGGTGGAGCGATGGGTGTAAAAGCCAGCTAGCTGTAAGGCGAAGTTTGACAGATACCCGATTTTATGGTACAGCTGGCAACAGCGCAGGTCTCTGCTCACAATCCACAGACCACTGCAGCCAGCCGTGCAGCCTGCCAGCATCTGCCTCCACCACCTAGCCGGTACCAGCCAACTCATTTGTCTGGACAGCATCGCTGCTGCCTACAGGACCGTGCAAAAACATTGTACGACCTTCTCAGGACAAGGGCGACACGTGCCAGGCCATTGCACGCAGCCCCCAGACAGGTTCTCAAAGCCGCAGGGCATAGCTCGGGGCTGGAAAAGAAAAGTCCAAGCTTTTGCACAGGTTAAGGCCCAACTTGCAGTGACAGCAGTAACTTCTTAACCATAGGACTGGAACGCAGTGCCCTGCGGTTACAACCTTCCCATTTCCCCAAAACATCTACATGCTAAAACTCTCCTCTGGCAAAGGCAGTCAGCACAAAGCTGTTCCAACCAGCTACGTTATCCCAAAGACAACACTAATACAGCTGGCAAGGGAAACAACTGCTCTTTGGTGTTTTCCATCCACAGTATCTTAAGGATGCTGCTAACATTGAGAGAATACCTCAGTTCCTCTGGTCTTATGAAAGAGGATAGTGAAGACAGAAATGCCTGCAGACACAAAGCAAGCTGGCGTGGCCGCTGGACCCTTCAGCTGGACACATGCACTAGGGCACTAGGCACTTGCCACTTGCTGCAAACTGACATTTTTCCCTCGTCTCCCCCAAATTTAAACTCTCCAAAGCAAGAACACCTGACTGAGCCAGTCAGGTCAGGCTCAATCATCCAGATCTAAAGACTTAAGAGATATTCCTTCCTCTTTCACAGAATCACAGAATGGTTGAGGTTGGAAGGGACCTCCAGAGATCATCTAGTCCAACCTCCCTGCTCAAGCAGGGTCCTCTAGAGCATATTTCCCAGGATCGCGTCCAGACGGGTTTTGAACATCTGCAGAGAAGGAGACTCCACAACCTCTCGGGGCAACCTGTTCCAAAAAAAATATTT